TTTGGTTGCGGTTTACTCAGTTGTTCCAACAGCCCTTGGTGAAGAGTCCGTCTTCCTTCAGCAATCTGCTGTGCTTCCTCTGCACGCATCAAGAGTCCAGATACGGTTAGGTCTGCCTGCGCCAACACCATGCCATCTTAAATAAATGACTACTCTTGGTTCTTTGTTCTGATCAGACTAGTTAAATCTATACATTTTTTTAGAGAACTCATTCCTCTTTATTAACAAGGTATAGTTCTCTGTTTATTCTTTAATGGCTTTCTACAAAGTTTTATGATTTAGTCTCAAACGGTCAGGCACATCTTTGGTTAGATCATTTTATTAGATTTTTTGTTTATTCCTATTGTGTAGAAGTACAGTTAGTTTTAAAATATTGATCCTACCTCCACCAACATTGCTGAATCCTTAGTAAATTCTTTTGCATTTTCTATGCAGATAATGGTATCATCTGGGATTTATAAATGTTTTTCTCCTTTTCAATCCTTAGATCTGATTTAAAGGAAATGTTTATGATGTATTTTTATTATTGTATATTTTTGATCCTTTTATTAGGTGAAGAAATTTTGTTTCTATTCCTAGTTTGCTAGAAAAGCTTTTGTACAAATCAGTGTGAAAATTTATCAAATGCTTTCTCTGTATGTATTAAGATGACCGTATTATGTTTCTCCTATAATTTGTCAGGTGAATTGCCTTAGTAGGTTTTGTGTGTGTGTGTGTGTGTGTGTGTGTGTGTGTACACGTGTGTGTGTGTGCATGTGTGTGTGTGTGTGTGTGTGACAAGCCAGGCATGCGTTTCTGGGATAAATCCAGTTGATCAGAATATGTTATATTTTTGTTTATTTAATTCATTATTGAATCTGTTTGACAAACAAAATTTTGTTTGTGATTTTTTGAATCTATGTTTATGAGTAACTCTGCCCTGTGATTTTCTTTCTCTGTCCAGTTTTTGTCTAATTTTAATCCAAAGTTACATTTACCTGCAAAATCCTTCCTCCTTTGAACTATTATGGAACACTTTCTAGACATTTGGAATAATCTGTTCCTTGAAGTTTCGTTGAAGTTTCCTTTAATACCTTTAGGCCTAGTTTTCCTTTTATGGGAAGATACTAACAAATTAATCTAGATAGAGTTTGTATCACTTTGCATTCCCACCAACAATGTATGAAACACTCCTCTTTCCCCATAGCTTCCATATTGTCAGTGTTTTGGGTTTTTGCCCAATGATAGATGAGAAATAGCATTTAGGTTTAGTTTTAAATTTGCATTTATTTTATTATTATAATGAATTCATTAAATTTTTTAATTTCAAAGATTATAACTTTACTTCTAGAAGTTATGTTGTGTTCTTTTTCAAATCTACTTGGTTGTTTTTTAATTGTCTGGTTTCTTGCCATTATTTCAGTTGCAAAATTTGTTTCATCAAATGTCTTATACATAAACTCCAAAACCAAATCCATTGCTGTCAAGTCGATTCTGACCCATAGCCACCCTATAAGAGAGAGTAGAACTGCCGCACAGGGTTTCCAAGGCTGTAAATCTTTACAGAAGCAGAATGCCACATGTTCTCCCATGGACTGGATTGGCGGGTTCGAATCGCCAACCTTCCCATTAGCAGCTGGGAGCTTTAACCACTGTACCACCGTGGCTCCCTATCTTATACATAGTTGTTTTAAATTTGGTATCTGATCATTTTAGTGTGACAAATTATGTTGGTCTTTGTTGTTTTTGTGATGCTCAGTCATGGCCACTTGCTTCCTTGTGCATGCAGTAAGTTCTAGTCCTATTTAACGCTTAGAATACATCAGTGAACAAAACAATCAAAGACCCTTACAGAACATACATCACTGCAGGCAGGGACTAAGTAAACAGTGTCGTTGTTGTTGTTAGGTGCCGTCAAGTAAATTTTTGACTAACAGCGACCCCATGTGACAGAGCAGAACTTCTCCGTAGGGTTTCCTAGGCTGTAAACTTTACAGAAACAGATTGTCAGGTCTTTTTCCCGTGGAGCTACTGGGTGGGCTCAAACTGCCAATCTTTTGGTCAGTAGCCAAGCACTTAACCATTGCACCACCAGGTCTCCTTAAGTGAAGACTAAACAAAATTTACAAGTACATTATGTTAGAAAAGTAGAAGCTGACGAGTGTGATGGAAAAAAGAAGTGGAGCCTGGAAAGGGGATTGTGAGAGCTGGGGGTGAGGAGAAGGTGGCAGGATTAAACAGAATGGCCAAGGCAATCTCACTGAGGTAGTGGGAGCTAAGAAAATGCTTGAAGGAGAACAAACTATGTGGATATTTTAGAGAAGCCGTAGAGAGAGCAGCCAGTGCAAAGGCCCCAAGGTGATAGCAGCAAGTACTTGAAGCTCCCAGAGAACAGCCAGGAAGCTAGTGTGGCTAGAGTGGAGTGAGCAAGGGGGCAGAAGGAGGAGAGAGTCAGAAAGGTAAAGTGGGGGTTCAGACCACGTAGCACCTGGCAAACCCAAACCAAACCAAACCTGTTGTTGTTGAGTCAATTCCGACTCATAGCCACCCTATGACAGAGTAGAACTGCCCCATAGGGCTTCCAAGGAGCGCCTGGTGGATTCAAACTGCCAACCGTTTGATTAGTAGCCGAACTCTTAACCACTATGCCGCCAGGGTTTCTAAAACCTAATTAGTATGGGTTTAAAAGAAAGATGAAGAAAATAAAGACAGCAACCATAGATGCCTCTTAAAGTTTGGTTTTAAAGGGGAGCAAAGAAATAGGTCAGTAGCATGAGGGAAAGGTGGTATCCATAGAACTTATATTTATTAATATTGTTATATTCATGGGAGTTTTCTAGTTGAGAGAGAATATTTGACAACTCAGCAGAGAAGGGGAGGGGTATTGTTATAGCAAATCCCCCAGTAGGTGGAGGAGACAGAATTTAGTACACAAGGAAAAGCAGGCATAGAGGAACAGATGTCTGTAGGTGGACAGATGTGGAGGTGGAAGCCAGAGGAAGTTCAATCCTTTCATTACTGCTTCTTTCAAGTAAGGAAAGCGTGGATGACCAAGTAGGACTCAGGACATGTCTGGCCTACTACGGAAACTTAACTCAATCATCCTCACTATTACATCATGAGGAAAGGCTGTTTCTTCGTTTTATCTGTGAGGGATCTAAAAAGAGATGCATGACTCACTTGTGTAAGGCCCACAGACAGTCCGTGGTAAGTCAAATTCCTTATTCCTCATTTCCTCCTCAGACGCTCATGGTGATACCATTTAATCTCACCTGGTATTTTCTCCTCAATCCCAGGTATTTTTCTAGACACTTTCAAAATTTTAGGAGCTGTGTTAAGTGAAGGAGAAAATGCACAGCAAGCTTCCAAGTCCTAACCAAAATCTGAATTCCAGTCATGTTCCACAACTGATAAATTATGTGAACTTAGATAACATCTTTGGTTCACAAAGCCCCATTTTCCACATGAATCCTACTTACCTAATTCTTATGAATAAGTCAGTAATTTGAAAATTGTAATGCATGATGCAAATATCCTGTGTTTTAATTCTTTTTTCTCTCCTTCGTCTTGTGCCTATTCTTAACGCCATACCCACTGCTGTGGAGGAGATTCTGACTCACAGTGACCCTATACGACAGAGTAGAACTGCCCCATAGAGTTTCCGAGGCTGTAAATCTTTACTGGAGCAGACTGCCACATCTTTCTCCCGAGGAGCGACTAGTGAGTTTGAACTGCCGACCTTTAGGTTAGCAGCCGAGCTCTTTAACCACTGTGCCACGAGGGTCCTTCTTAACACCATAGTGATATAAACTAGCATACAATTATAGATAACTATGGAGTTCCTGGGTAGTGCAAATGGCTAACGTGCTAGCTTTTAACATAAAGGTTGGAGGTTTGAGTCCATCCAGAGGTGCCTCAGAAGAAAGGCCTGATGACCTACTTCTGAAAAATCAGCCACTGGAAACCTTATGGAGCACAGATCTGTTCTGACACCCATGGGGTTGCCATGAGTCAGAACTGACTCAACAGCAACTGGTTTGGGTTTTTTTTTTTTTTTTTTTTTTGGTTCTATAGCTAACTATCTACATGCAGTATGCATTATCTGCAAATTTGCCTACATTCAATTGTCTTAAACATATATACATTTGTGAAATCCATCCATCAATTTTAACTACTTGATGCCTTAGACGGTGACATTCATAACAGTTCTAACAGATTATCTTTTCGAAATGATCTTTTGTCCCTCAAAATTTACTAAAGGGTGATCTCTAGATTTCCCCGGACAACAGCCCTTGACTCTTTTGCTACATTGTACCACTTGAAAGATTTCTCTTCGCTCAGTATTTCTTTTTTAAGTAGGTCCTTTTGCACATGGGCTTCAATTAAATTGTAAAACTTGCTGTAGTTAGTTTTGATTTTATATGCATTGCAAAACCCACAATCATACACATCCCTAAGCTTTGGTGATAGTTCAATATATTGTGCATGCGAAGTACATTAAACATACATTAAAACACAGCTGCAAAGTTTCCTTCACAAAAATCTATAAGGGCATTTCATTTTCAAAAAGTTCCTTTTGCAGTGAAAATAAATACCTGTTTCTTTGATATGCTAGTTTCACTGAAAGAATATATTACTAGAGAATGATTACTATTTTATAACCATATCTCACTTAAAATCTTCCAGAAAAAAAAAATGTTCATTTGTTTTCACTGTAGATCTAGGCAAAGGGTGATAAAAAGCTTTATGGTCAAGGCAATCATGCTGAAAACAAAGAGCAGGGGCCATTTTTTACTGTGATGGGCTGGGGCTGAACTCAAGACTCTCTCCTTTTCTCAGAAGCTATTGTGGAATTTACAGTAATCACCCTGGCTGGCTGCCCATCACACAGCTGAACAGCACACCAAAAAAATAATATCTGGGGAGAAGGCCTCAACATAATTTTAGAACTCTCATTGTTTTTATTCTTCAAGTTTGAAAGATGATTTTTTTTTTTTAAAACAGAAAAGAAAAAAACTCACCCAGCTGTTACCACGATTCATATTCCAATAGCCTCCAGATTCCTCAAGGCCACCTGGTTGACTTTTGCCTTGGAGTCGGTCCAGAAAAGCATTATTTACCCTTTAAAACAATGAAAAATGTATGTAAGTGGAAAGCTGGCTGCAGGGTTGAGAGATTTTTTGAGAACCTAATGTGCTGTATGAACTGACTGTGGGGACTGCCTCCCCTCTTCAGCTTAGAAGAAATCTGCAGAAACATTTTTTCACATTCACCTCATGACATGCTGTTAATAGCCCCCTTACTGGAGCTGGAGCCGGTCTTGGCTCGGGCCAAGGGGGCACAAATTTGTAACCTCAGAATTTCACTCACCGATCTTCTACCAGTTCAGCAAGAGCCCCACTTGCCCAGCCAACAGTACCCAAAGGGCCATGACAGGCGTGAGCCCCAGGGGCTGTGGAAAGATGGACGCTTCAGCAAGAACCCAAACATGAAGAGGAACTAAACTAAACGCAGCTCTGTGGCACTATTGTATCCCATTGCCAGTCCTACTAAAGCAAATCCCGTAAGTGAAAAGTAGAAGAAGACATAGAGAGGGTGTAGGAAAGGGAAATGTCGGAAGAGGGAAGCCCAAGCTTTCAGAGATAAGAATGGATACACCTTTCCCCGCGTTCTGTCATACCTGCAGTAACCAATCAGAGAAATAATATTCAACAACATAGGAGGTAAAGCTATAAAGAAAGGTTAAGAAAGTGATTATCATAAAGGTCAGGATAAGGCTTACCTGCAAGGTGATGGCTATATTCTATTTCTTGACCTGGCTACATGGGTGTTCACTGATACAGTGACACATTGAGCACATGTATCTGCCCCATATCTCTATGTGGCTGACTCTTCCTTATCACTGGAATGTCACCCGTTCAGTGAGACCTTCCTTGGGCACCCACTGCCTCCAGTCACTCCCTTAACTTCATCCTGTGTGTGTATGTATCACTGTCTGAAATAATCTTGCTGTTTAACTGTTGGTTTTCTATTTCCCTCCTCCAGATTGTAATTTCCATGAGGTCTGGGACCTCTTCCGCCTTGCTTACCCCGATTCCCAGTGCCCAGAACAGTGCCTTTGCAGAGGCAGCCACCCTGATGTCAGAACTGTTGAACGAATGAATTGCCCAGGCACAATGTCCTCAACCCTGCCTGCTGCTGGTGACTAGGGCTGCATCATGAGGCTACCACTGGTGGTGAGTGCAGACTGCAAACCAGGTCACTGTCAATGGCTCCCAATTCAGGGACATGGCTATGACTGACAGCATGTCACAAATGCACACCGTAATGGGATATCACCTTTGAGCTTCAGTTACTAAGACCACATCAGAGTGGTTGAGCTTTCCTTGAGACTTTGGAAGTGTCCACAACTGGTCTATGCCCACTGAAATATCAGTCGTCCAGAGACAATGGGAGGTAAAGAGATTGTTTCTCTCCATTCCTACTGAGAATTCAAAGAGGGGGTAAAAGTAACAGCTTCTATTTTTGTTTGCTAGTTTTAGAAAGTACATATATTATACTGCAGTCCAACTTGTTCTCCGGATTTTCTTCTAAGATTTAATTTGGATAAAAACCATTATTCAGGGATGGCCCAAGTTTCAATAAATCGATTCAATTCAGCCCAATTTTTAGCTCAGAGCCTAGTTCCTTTCAGGTCTTTGACCTCCCTGCTCTGTCTTTTCTCTATGGAGTTCCTACTTGTCTTCTCTCACTCAGAAAGTTATACCGGGTCAAGTTCGGTTACACTCATGCTCGTTAGAGGAGTCATTGAAAAGCCTGGGAAGAATCCCACAAGCTTCTATTATAAAGCTCAGGGTTAAGGTTTCTGCTATGTGGACTTCGAAACAGTAGAAAGCATGTCACCTTTTTGACTCCAATAAAGTTATGCCCCTAGAGAAAACCTAACTTATGTCCCCTAAACACATACTACATAGCTCTGAGTAGAAAGGGACACAGCTATTGCATTCATTAAGACGCTACTGTATTGTCCTTCTTGATAACACGGGAAAGCTAACTGCAACCTCTACAGGACAATACAAATACAGGCACTTTCTAAAAACTGATTGAAAACATAAAGTATGTGTTTAAAGACTTGATCACTTATTTCAAAACTTATGACTGAATTTATTATCCAGAGAAGCTTCCTCATGGATTAAACTTGGATCTACATTTAACAAGAACCAATAGTGAAAATGGAATGTGAAAAGTAGACAGCTCCACCAATATGTAGGTAGTCAGCGGTATGGAGAACTTAAAGAATGAAGGTCTGGGTTTCTATAACAAAACAGAATCTCTTCCATCTCTAATCACGTAACTTCTGTTTTTACTGGGTGCCAATTCAAGATTAATCTCCTAGCAATGGGGCCTATTCATATGACACATCACTTTCTTTAAGGTGTTTAAAACCTGTACTATCTAATTAATCCTCAGGAATCCAGAGAAATAACTGGCTACTATTAGCAACCAGTGTTATATAAATACAATAACAGGTTTTTTTAATGGAAAGTCTTTTAAGGAGAAAAACCAATGAAGATGGAACTAAACTAATGTACGGCCTACTCTATAACAAATAGGTAGCAGTAATGGTCCAGTCTTACCCCAAAAATAGCCTAACTCATGTACAGAGTTTTGATGTTTCCTTCTAATCAGAGAAGAATATATAAACTCACATTTGACATTTTCAAACTATTTTGACTAGACTATGGAGGCAGATAGTTCAGTCAAAAAAATATGAACACCCATCATTGTTGGTACCCTCAGAACTTGGAACTTCCATTGAAAACTTTTTAGAATCTCTCATTTATAAAATGAAACCACCACATTTTAAAGCTCACATGAGTAACCGTGGAAAGGCTACACACACAAGAGAAACCATTCATTTTCCAAAGAAGAGTTTGCTCCTTTAAATCATGAATGAAAGCCTTTACATTAAATTCTCCTAAGACACAAGCATACCCCAATAAACTTAAATAGCCCAAGTGCCCTCTAAGAAAAGCCTAGAAAAATAATGATAGACAAAATGGTGGTTATTGATAACTGTTCCAACACCAGCATAATAAAGATATTTCCTAGTTACTATTAACATAATTAATATTAGGAAAAAGAGAATACTTACACTATCAAAAATTACTTAATGATTCCATTTTAAGATTTCCCCCCAATGTATTAGTCAATAGAAAACAATTTCAATGGTACTTTTTCTCTGAGTTTTTGTATTCAAATACGGGCATTTCATCATCTAAACAAATTCAATTACTGAACAAAGAATTCATAATTGAATAAAAATTAAACTATTCTAAAATATTGATGATGGTAAAGCACCATCTCAAAGGATTATGATGCTTTGTCCCAAGGGAGGTAAATTAAATATAATCTAAACGAACACCTAACTTGAGATCATGATTCAGTTTTCTAATGTGAGTTTATACCACCTGTCCAGAAAAAACTGATTGTGTGTGTGTGTACAATATATAGCAGTCGGTATCTCTCACACACACCACACCCCAATTAAAATAAAGATTAAAAAGGTAAAATGGATTACAAAACCATACTCAATATGTAGTCTTTTTGTAAAATGCTGCAAAAATTTTATAAATAATCGATTTAAGCAACGATGCTTATTTTATTAGGGATCACACCTCCTGTGTTCAGTTTGGCGGGTTTTGGTTCTTTCTTCCTCTTCTTGCTGTCGCTTAAGCTCCAATAGTTCACTCTAGGAACAATAAAAGTTTAAAAATATGGTTTTCAATTTAACACGGTTGTACAGAAGACACCTAAATCAATGACATATTTCACCTTAGCTGGTGCAATACTTCTCTTTTGAAACTTTAACTTAAATACCATTTCCATGTGAAATTATTTTCTTATGTAACTAGGTAGCAAAAATAATTGTGGCTTAGTCAAACTGAATTGCTCTGAGTGTAAAATTGTGAGATTAAAAAGCCATGGTGCATAGTCAGGATATTAGACCAACAGGTATAACATACACGGAGGAAAACGCAATGTGAGACAAACGTGCTTGTATCTTACAAAGAAAATCAATTTAATTAGGCTCTTAAGGTATGTCATACAATACCATTTCTTTGTATTTGTCTAGCATCTCTCCCCTAGTAAACTCACAGCAGCTTCCAAATTAATATTTGACTCAATTCTATAGTACAATTCTGTTAGCAAAATATTCTCCATCCTGGAGAATAAGTACTCACCTATCACTGACTAGTTACTTCTGGTACTAACAGAACTTTGGGTTCCTTACAGGGGATCATTTGCTTCAAATAGGAGATCACTTTATTAGAACTAAACCTCTAGCTTCTGACATTCTGATTGTCTTCTTGGAAGAGGTAACTTGGCTTCCAGACTCAGTTTATTATGTTCACAGTATTATCAGAGAACTAGATCCCAGGATTTCTCTAAGACCTAACTGCCTACCATGAGACAGACAGTGAGTTCTATCCCCATCTCACAGACAGAAAAAGGCAGAGGGAAGTCAATTATCTGGCCAAGTTCTAAGTCAGTGCCTGAGTCAGACAGATGTCATGGTAGAGAAAATACTGTCACATCTTGGTAAGCACATGCCAATGCATGTATTATTTTTAAACCCCAAAACTTACTTGATGAAATGTATAAAATAAATCCAAAGTTTAGATTCAATTTTTTTTTAACTTTGTTTAAAGGCGTTCCAATATTCCACAGTCCCCAAAACAAAAAGCCTGCTTTCTCATACTGTTATACGTTCTACCTTGTCCCATAGGGTCGCTATGAGTCGGAATCGATTCGACAGCATACAGCAACAAAAACAAATCCCTAAAGCCCTTTATTTAATTACTATCCTAATTAACAACTAAGGAGCCTTGGTGGTGCGACGGGTAAGTGATCAGCTGCTAACTGAAAGGTTGGTGGTTCGAACACACCCAGCAACTCCGTGGGAGAAAAGACCTGGCGATCTGCTCCCGTAAAGATTACAGCCCAGAAAACCCTATGGGATAGTTCTGCTCTGTTACATGGGGTGGCTATGGGTCGGAATCGACTTGAGGGCACCTAACAAAAACAACAATTACTACCTAGCATCAACAAGGGAAAATGAGAGCGTTTTCTAAATAACTGAATAATATTCAACCATTCAACAAGTACTTATTAAGCACCTACCAGATACCAGGCCCTGTGCGCTAGAGGCACACTCACTTTTCCACAATGGCAAAAAGTCTTTAATTTTATTTTTTATCACTGTAATATATGTATATAATTTTAAAAGTGTACCAAGTAACAGTGTTAGTTAGTACTACCAAGGCTTACACTAAAGAAAAAGAACGTCCTGCCTGCCCCCACACCTCACACACGGCCACTTTCAATTCCTGTTTGCTGTTTTCTCTAGCAATTGTTTTTTTCTTAACAGTGTGTATATTCTGTTATTTCTTGATTTTGTACCTATTATCACTTATCTTCCTACTCGGAAAGAAGATTTACGCCTCTGTTAGTAACCACCCTAACCCCATCCCAATACACTCTTTTCATCCTTCTGATGCTTGCAGCTTTTTTTTTTTTTTTAAACTTTCCGTGTGGTGGAGGAGGGGGATCCGGGGCCTCAGCAGCCCCGCCAATTAGACTCCCAATTCCTCCTCCAGGTTTCAACTCTACTTTTCAGAGGTACCGCGTGCCTCTAATTTCCGAGTTTTAATCAACTTGCTTTTTACTGCTTCTTGCAAATGAGCTCTGGCTTTTCCTGCTTCCCTAAGTTGGTTACCACTTCATCCATCTATGTTCCGGCTTCCACAAGTTTGCTGATATCTTTTCCTTGCTGCAATCTCCCGGCCTGTCCATTTGTTTTTATGGCTTCATGCCTTTTACGGCTTTATGGTCTTTTTAGCGGGATTTGGGGATGGGGGATTGGAAATAAGCAAATGAAGTGTTCTTAAACTGCAGTGTTTAACCAGATTATCTTAACAATTTCAAGTAAAAAATTTACCTGAATTCTGCTACTTGATCCTCACAACAATCTGAAAGTTAGGCTGGTAAATAAGAGAATGACTTGATGAACCAATGACTGGGCAGTATTATGATTGTTTTCAGAAGAGAAAACAGACAATCAGAGACACAATTTAAGTAACTTTTCAAGGGCTAAACAACTCACTAGTAACAAAATAACGACTAGGGCTGCAGGATATACTTAAAATAGGGGGTTAACGCCTGGTGACAGGCAGTGTGCACCCGCCCCCAGCCTGCCTGGTGACCAATGGGAGTGCTCTCGGCACTCCCACTCGGTGACCAGCCAGGCAGGCACATTTCCTCAACAGCAATAGCCTGGCACATCCCGACAAGTGCCACCCGCACCCCTGCCAATGATGAGCAGAAGATCCCAGTGCCCTCTCTCCTCGGCTGCCTGGGTACAATGTCACACATCCCGCACCGAGGCAGTTCCTGCAGGCTGAATGCACATGCACGGAGACCTGTCAATCCCCTACCACTTACTGAGAAGCCAATTCATGCATACACAGAGGGCCTATCCCATCCATGTGAGTAGCACTGCCTCATAGTGTCTATGGAGATGCCCTGCCCTGCTCTCTAGCAGACAAACTAACTGCTGGCACCAACTTGGAAGGACCCCACTGCAACTGTGGAGGGTCCCTGACCACCCAACACTTGCCACTCCACATCAGGGATAGGACCTGCTCCTGCACCTCTGCTCAGTCCTGTAAGGGAAGACATATTAGCCTAATGACAGGACTCACACATGGGTGTGACCCACTATATTCACTAGTGAGAGGAAATCACACCCAGCCAACCGATACCACCAAAGTCACACACGGACCAGTATCACAAAACAACAATTAAAATAATACAAAGGAAGAAAGACATTTTAAAGTGAAAGAGAAGAAACAAAGCTCCTGATATATCAAAACAAAACAAAAAAATCAGGATAAAACAAGCAAACATACGATCAAAAAAGAAACATAAATAAATTAACACTGTAATGCCTCAGAGACAGCAGGCAATAACAAATCACATAAAGAAACAGGGTAAGATGTCTCAAACAAGTGAGCAAAATAAAGGGACAGAAAACATTTCAGAGGAAGAACTGATACTAGAACAACCTGACAAGGAATTTAAAAGACTAATATTTAGGCTCCTCAAAGAGATCAAAGAAAACAAAGGAAAAAATCTAGAAGAATTCAGAAAAATAATACAAGAACAAAATTACGAACTCCATAGACAAATAGAAACCATACAAAAACAACAACTAGAAATCCAGAAGCTTAACAATCAAATAACAGAAATGAAAAACTCAATAGAAGGATACAGAAGCAGAATTGAATCAACGGAATAACGAATCAGTGAAAGAGGGAACAAATCCCCTGATATTAATTTGTTTGAGGAACAATCATACAAAACACTGAAGAGAAATGAAAACAGCATAAGGGTTATGTGGGACACCATCAAGAGAGATAATAAACATACATGAAGAATTCCAGAAGGGGAAGAGAGGAAAAGGAGTACAAAGAGAATTTTTGAAGCCATAATGACAGAAAACTCTCCAAATATCATGAAAGATGAGAAGATTTCCATCCAGGATGCTCAATGAACCCCACAAAGAATAGACTCCAAAAGAAATTCACCAAGACATATTAAAATCAAACTTTCCAAAACCAAAGACAAAGAAAGAATTTTGAGAGCAGCTTGTGAAAAGCAAAATATCACCCACAAAGGGGCATCAATAAGACTAAGTGCTGATTTCTCATCAGAAACCATGCAGGCAACAAGGCAATGGGATGATGTATCTTAAGCTCTGAAAGAAAAGAATTGCCAACCAAGAATCATATATCCAACAAAACTATCTTTAAAAAATGAGGGTGAAATTAAGACATTCCCAGACAAGCAGAAATTAAGGGAATTTATAACTACCAGATCAGCCTTCCAAGAAATATTAAAGGGAGTCTTTGGACGGAAATCCAACGACATCAGACAACAACCTAAGAAAGACACATGACAGCACCGTCCAGATACCAACCCATGTAAAGACTTCACGAAAGTAAAATAAAGCTGCAAAACTGATTACAGGGAACCAGAGATACTACGCTGTAAATGATGACATCAGAACAAAAGGGGGAATGAATGTAGTTATAGAACTTCCATACGGAGGGGAAGTCAATTCGATTTCAAGATATAACAGATTGTTTTAAATACAGGAGGGTAAACATAAACTTCAGGGTAACCACAAAGAAAATTAATAAATCTACTCACCAAAATAAAGAAGAATTAAATAAAAAAGACTCAGTAAACAGAAAAACAACCATAACGGATGATAGGAAAAGAAAATCCATATACAAAAAGAACTCAGCACAGAAAATTAAGAAAAAAGAAACTTAACAATAAAAAAAAATATAAAACAAAGTGGCAGCAAAGAATTCATACCTATTGATAATCACACTGAATGTAAATAGATTAAATGTACCAGTCAAGAGGCAGAGAGTGGCAGAATGGTAAAAAAAATATGATCCATGAATATTTTGTCTACAAGAGGTACACCTTAGACACAAAGATATAAAAAGGCTAAAAATCAAAGGATGGAAAAAATATATACTAAGTAAACAGCAACCAAAACAGAGCAGGAGTGGCAATACTAATTCCCGAAAAAATAAACTCTAAGTCAAAATCCATAAGAGACAAAGAAGGCAATTATATAATGACTAAAGGGTGAATTCAACAAGAATACATAAT